TATTTTTTTTAGAAAAAGAATTATTGGGTCATTAGACAAAATCCATATGTTAAAAAAAAGAGAAATTTTATGGTTCTTAAGAAAGCACTTGTAGACATCAAAATTTTACATAAAAGTTAAGTGTAATACCTAGTATCTGGAGATATCAAGTTTTACACTTAGAAAAATATGTTATCTCCTAATATCTTAAGGGCCCCTTTGAATCATAGGAATGAAAAAAACGGAGGAATAGGAAAAACATAAGATTCTGACAGGAATGCAAGTGTAAAAGAGAGGATTGCAAAACACAGGAAAAACATAGGAATGACTATTTGATTGGGCCATAGGAAAAATACAGGAATTTGAGGAGAGATAAAGACTCAAAGGATTCTTTCCATGAGGTTCTACCTTATGTTAAATTTCCTCCGAAACTTGCATGGAAAGAGTCATTCCATAGGAATTTCATAGGATTTCATAAGATCCATTCCTTTAATTCAAATGGCTATATAGGAAAAATTTATATAGGAATGAACTCCTCTAAAATTCCTATGAATTTTCTTTGAATCAAAGGGGCCCTAAGTATGGTAAACTTATCCTAAAGCATACATTGATCAGCTCCTAAAAATAAAATAATAATGTACCCCAAGAGTTTGCAAGAAATGTGCCGGCAATATTGGATTGTTGGAATTGAATCAAGACCGGCAGGGTACCACAATATATGGCAAACATAGGATTGTGCAAAATTTTTAATGGCAAATTAAACAGGTCATTCTTCTTATGCTTTTGTGGTTAGTCTAGGCAAAGGCAATGATGTCCTGTACAACTCCAGGCACAGATATGAACCAGCGTAACGTTCAAATATGGGGAAAATAAATGGAACATCATGAATAATAACAAACTGAGGGAGTAAAAATACGGTGATAATAATAGGGATGATTACACATGTCGAACGTTGTGTAACTGACAAAACTGGAGCATTTTAAGCTGAACTCCCCATATCTATTCTGATTTCCAACTGTGCAGATAATCGGTAACATCGCGGCCGTGTCATCCTCGCTGCACGTCGGCAAAGCTGGCCCAATGGTACACACGGGCGCGTGCATCGCCGCCATCTTCGGCCAGGGCGGGTCGCGCAAGTACGGCCTCACCTGCCGCTGGCTGCGCTACTTCAAGAACGACCGCGACCGCCGTGATCTCGTCACCATAGGCGCCGGCGCAGGTGTCACCGCGGCTTTCCGCGCCCCCGTCGGCGGCGTCCTGTTCGCTCTCGAATCACTCTCGTCATGGTAAAACTACCCATCAAATTACACATGAATGATATGCACTGCTGCAATTTTCTTTTTCTGTTCATCCTCTGAAGCTTTTGGCTGACAACTTAATTACAAGAATGTATAATTTGTGGCTGATAATTAATCAAGGTGGCGGAGCGCGCTGATCTGGCGGTCGTTCTTCACGACGGCGGTGGTGGCGGTGGTGCTGCGGATGTTCATCGAGCTGTGCGCGTCGGGGAAGTGCGGGCTGTTCGGCAAGGGTGGGCTGATCATGTACGACGTCAGCACCAAGTTTGATGACCTCATGACCTACCACCTCAAGGACATCCCCATCGTCGTCCTCATCGGCGTGATCGGCGCCATCTTGGGCGCCCTCTACAACTTCCTCATGATGAAGGTCCTGCGCGTCTACAGCGTGATCAACGAGTATGGCTAGCTAGCTACGATCATTCCATATCTTTGCCAATTTCACATGGCTTACTTGTTCGTTCAATTAATTAATTATGACATCATTTGGAACACATTGAAGTTGAACTGATTATATTCTAGTGAAAAATCCAATCCAATCCAATGAAATTAATTTTTGAAATGTGCAGGAGGGGCAACGCGCACAAGCTGCTTCTGGCGGCGGTGGTGTCCATCCTGACGTCGTGCTGCGTGTTCGGCCTGCCGTGGCTGGCGCCGTGCCGGCCGTGCCCGACAGCCGGGGCGCCGTCGCCGCCGAACGGGACGTGCCATTCGCTGAACCGATTCCGGCGGTTCCACTGCCCGGCGGGGCACTACAACGACTTGGCCAGCCTCTTCCTCAACATCAACGACGACGCCATCCGCAACCTCTACTCCACGGGCACCAACGACGTCTACCACCCGGGCTCCATGCTCGCCTTTTTCGTCGCCTCCTACGCGCTCGGCGTGCTCAGCTACGGCGTCGTCGCGCCGTCGGGGCTGTTCGTCCCCATCATCCTCACCGGCGCCACCTACGGCCGCCTCGTCGCCATGCTGCTCGGCGGCCGCTCAGGACTCGACCACGGCCTCGTCGCCATCCTCGGCTCCGCCTCCTTCCTCGGCGGCACGCTCCGGATGACGGTGTCCGTGTGCGTCATCATCCTGGAGCTCACCAACAACCTGCTCCTCCTCCCGCTCGTCATGCTCGTGCTGCTCATCTCCAAGACCGTCGCCGACTCCTTCAACTCCAGCATCTACGACCTCATCCTCAATCTCAAGGGCCTCCCGCACCTCGACGGCCACGCCGAGCCGTACATGCGGCAGCTCACCGTCGGCGACGTGGTGGCCGGGCCGCTGCGGAGCTTCAACGGCGTCGAGAAGGTGGGCCACATCGTGCACACGCTCCGGACCACGGGGCACCACGCGTTCCCGGTGGTCGACGAGCCGCCCTTCTCGCCGGCACCGGTGCTGTACGGCCTCGTGCTGCGCGCGCACCTGCTGGTACTGCTCAAGAAGCGGGAGTTCCTGACGGCGCCGGTGCGGTGCCCCAAGGACTACATGGCCGGGAGGTTCGAGGCGCAGGACTTCGACAAGCGCGGGTCCGGGAAGCAGGACACCATCGCCGACGTGGAGCTGTCGCCGGAGGAGATGGAGATGTACGTCGACCTGCACCCCTTCACCAACACGTCGCCGTACACGGTGGTGGAGACCATGTCGCTGGCCAAGGCGCTCGTCCTCTTCCGCGAGGTCGGCCTGCGACACCTCCTCGTCGTGCCCAAGTCCTGCGACGTATGTGAATCGATGTCCACTACTCAAATTACTAACACACACCTGCTCCAATCCAAATTACAAATTACTTAACCTTTTGTTCCACTGTTACAAACTCTCATTCGAATAAGATCGTTGCAGAGGTCGCCGGTGGTGGGGATCCTGACGAGGCACGACTTCATGCCGGAGCACATCCTCGGGCTGCACCCGGTGCTGGTGGGAAGCCGGTGGAAGCGGCTCCGGTGGCAGAAGGGCGCCGTCGCCAAGAAATTCCGGTCGCTCCTCGACTGGCTAGCCAACGACAGCGGCTGATCGATCGATGCAGAGGAGTACATTATATTGATACACGCACATACATTCTGGCCGGACAACGAGGGATGATGATGATGGAGTGCTTGCACATAAATATACGTACATACACGTTGGATTGGTCATTGAGTTTTTGTGAATTTTGTGCAATAATAACAGCACCTATACCTGGTGGTCATGAATGACATAGACACAATCATTCAATTTTCTTTTCTTCTTTTTGCTTGTATATTACTCCCTCTATTTTATATTATAAGTTGTTTTGATTTTTTAAAAAAAATTAAGTTTGACAAGTTTATAAAAAGATATAGTACCATTTTCGTACAAAACAAACATACTATTTTCCTGGTAGAATTTAACATCATTATTTTGGCGTTTTAGATGTTACTAAATTTTTCTATAAATTTGATCAAACCTAACAAAGTTTTACTAGGAAAAAAATTAAAGCGAATTATAATATGAAACGAATATCACTACCGAAAATGATTTGTCACCACGAAAAAAAATCGTGGCAATACATATATGTTGCTATCATTTTTAAATTGTTGCTAATAAATATAGTGGTAATAGGTTATTGTAATGATTTTTATTTAGTGATAACAAATTTTCATATTGCCACAAAATAGATATGGCAAAAAATTACATTGCAACACTTCATATGTAGCATTAGTTCCACACTATATTAAACTATCATCCTAAGTATTTTTTTTATACCGGCCTTGTCATGGTTAGGATTCGAACCCAACACCTCTCTCCTTTACCAACTCAGCTACATATAAATTCTATTAGAAAAAAGATAATCCAAGAAATGCTATTGACAAGCGTCCAAGTCCCAGTAATGCCATCGACAAGTGCGAGTTCCAAGAAATGCCATCATACAAATGATTTTGTCCCAAAAATGCCATCGCCATTAGGGTTCCGTCTATTTTGCGCCGTTAAATACACTGTTCATCCTATAGAACTTAACGGTACTGAGTGAACGGAACCCTAATGGCGATGGCATTTTTGGGACAAAGTCGTTTGTACGATGGCATTTCTTGGAACTCACACTTGTCGATGGCATTTCTGGTATTTGGATGCTTGTCAATGGCATTTCATGAAATATCTCATTAGAAGATAGATATGTTTTCATTTGAGCCTACTTAATTGAGACTTGAAACATGAATTTAAGTATCTAAAACATTTCAAATGAAAAAAAAATCACCTATAAAATTATAAATCTCGTCAAGAGCTATAATTTCAAATAAAATTTGTCCAAATCTGTGTCCATATGAAAAGAAATAAGTTTAACTATGAGATTTGAGATGAATTTTGAGACTTGAACGACTTCATTTCGAGTTTGCATGAATTAGTTATGAATTTTACGATATTTAATCCAATTAAAGCCTAATTAAAAGGATTAAATAGATTTATGATATCATTTACAATTATTTTTACACTGATAAAATAGGATTAATAACGTCGGCCATCCGTCGCGAACCCGGTTCAGAAGGTCCCTCAACTTGTTATCGAGTTACAAAATCGTCCCCCAACCAGAAAACCAGATACAGAGTATCCTCCAACTTAAAAAACATTCATTTTAGGTCCTTTGGTGGTTTTGAACCCGGTTTCATCATACGTGGCGGCTGAGTCAGCGTGGAACCCACGTAGGTCCCACCTGTCAGCGTGGCCACGTCAGCACCCTCTCTCTCTCTTCCCCCTCCTCTCCCTTCCTCATCTCTCTCTCTCTCACTCTTCTCGGCAAGCCGGCCGGTGGCTGGGGCGAAGGCCGCCAGGGTGAGGCGGCGGCGGCAGGTCGCGAATGGCGAGACGGAAGCGCTCCACGCCGCGGTGCTCAAGGAGGAGGAGCAGCAGCACGAGGTGGAGGAGGCGGCGGTCGTGACGAGCAGCAGCGCCACAAGCGGGGAGGAGGGCGGGCACCTACCGCAGGGGTGGGCGAAGCGGAAGAGGTCGCGCCGCCAGCGATCGGAGGAGGAGAACCTCGCGCTCTGCCTTCTCATGCTCGCCCTCGGCGGCCACCACCGCGTCCAGGCGCCGCCTCCTCTCTCGGCGCCGGTAGGTGCGGAGTTCAAGTGCTCCGTCTGCGGCAGGTCCTTCAGCTCCTACCAGGCGCTCGGCGGCCACAAGACGAGCCACCGGTTCAAGCTGCCTACTCCGCCCGCATCTCCCGTCTTGGCTCCTGCCTCCTCCGAGGTCCAGAGCCCCCTCGCCTTCTCACCGCGTAATTCAGCAGCTGCACGGATCTGATCTCTCAAACAGTTTTTGGTCTAGGGAGTGAAATTCACGGTCGAAACAAACTATTCGTTGATTCGTTTTGTGCCGCTATTGTTTAATTTGTTCCTGCTTTTGTACATAGCAAACGAGTGATACATAGCCATACATAGTCATACAGATACTATGTCTAGCTCTTCCTTGGTTCTTTGTACACTGGAACTGTACCTGTATCTTTTACACTTAGTTTTTTGGCGGTCATATATTGTAGACCATATTCGATCATATTGGGAGATTGATTCGTGTACAGTACGCTGTAACATAAACACAGATTGATTTCATGATCATATTTGTACAGAACCGAAACATCTTGTTTTGGCACCTCAGTCTCCTTTGCTTACAGACACGGTAAGAAAACAGAAGCCTCTAGTTGATCAATTTACATATTGCGGCTCTGCCTCCTCATGCTAGCCCGCGGCGGCCACCACCGTGTCCAGGCGCCGCCTCCGCTCTCGGCGTTGGTGCGGCCGTCGGCAGGTGCGGAGTTCAAGTGCTCCGTCTGCGGCAAGCCTATCAGGCGCTTGGCGGCCACAAGACGAGCCACCGGGTCAAGCTGCCGACTCCGCCCGCAGCTCCGGCAACGGCCACTCCGCCGCCCGGGCGTTCGACCTCAACCTCCCGGCCGGCGCCATTCGCGACCGGTGAGAAGGCTCTGGACCTCCTCCTCGTCATCCCACATCTTCTTGCCCTTGAAGCACGGCGGCGACGACACGGGAGCCGGGATTCGGCGTGTTCCCGGAGCCCTTGGAGTACATGTTCCCGTCGTTGCTGGGCTTCGGCGTGTCAACACGGGTGGGGAACGAGCTGGGCGCGAACCGTCCCGGCCGCGCGTGCGCCGCGCCGCATATGGCTGTGGCGGGGGCCGCGGCGATGGGGCTCGTCACCATGGCGTTCGTGGCGGGGATGCGACGCGCGTGGGGGCACCCATCTGAGAGAAAGCGTGAAAGAGAGATGAGGAAGGAGATAGGAGGCTGACGTGGCTACTGACATGTGGGACCCATGTGGGTCCCACGCTGACTCAGCCGTCACGTATGACAAAACCGGGGTTAAAACCAACTAAAGACATACGTGGTTTTGTGGTTGGAGGATGATTTTGTAACTCGATGACAAGTTGAGGGATCTTCAGTATACTTTTTCCATTCATAAAAGGTGTCTTAGCTTGTCAACGAATCCAATTTTCATCCTTCAACTGAAAAACTAGATATAACGATTTGTCAAAACCAATACAATATAGGTCCCATGGCAGATTGGATGGCGGTTTACGTGACGCCTACGTGGCTAATTTGATTCGGTCTTCATATAACATGGCAAAGACGTGGCGTTTATGTGGCAACTTGATTTCGAAAATAATAAAAAATTGTCAGCCGGCATGTCAGTTACACCCAAAAAATTAATTTTAAAATGATGGAAGCTCCACATATCATTCTCAACCCTCCTCTTCTTCCTCCTCCCTCCCCAATTCCCCTTCATCTCTCTCCCCTCTCCTCTGTCCTCTCTCCAGGCGCGAGTGAGGAGTGGCGGCACACGGCGGCCAGAGGGAGACGGGAGAGGAGGCAGCGGCACGCAGCAGCCGGCGGGTGAGGAGGGAGTGACGCGCGGCGGCCGACGGGGTTTTTTTTTTAACTATTTGTCACTCTTCTGGAGTGCAACTATCCATATGCCACTTTTCCAGATTTTTTTACACAAACACCACAAGAGAGATTTTATCCCTAATTAGTATGCTATGTCAGTAGGGAGATTTGAAATGACCTTTTTGCTAGCAATCCAAGAAGCTTACTCCTAGAAAAAAGCTAGCTAACAAGCCCAAAATTGCTTCACCACTCAAGCTATTCAACTGATTTTGCTATGTGATGTGGCCTGATGAACTTATGAAATGATGAATGGTCTGATAAGCCTTTGGCGCCTTTTGTTGTGATATGATGTGTATGGCCTAATGATCGTATGCCTTCTTATTTTGCTACAAACTACTTCGGGTCTGTTTAGTTCGCGAAATGAAAATTTTTGGGTGTCACATCGAACGTTTGACCGGATGTCGGAAGGGGTTTTCGGATATAAATAAAAAAACTAATTTCATAACTCGCCTGGAAACCGCGAGACGAATCTTTTGAGTCTAATTAATTCGTCATTAGCACATGTGGTTTACTATAGCACTTATAGCTAATCATGGATTAATTAAGCTCAAAAGATTTGTCTCGCAATTTTTCCCCTAACTGTGTAATTAGTTTTTTTAAAATCTATATTTAATACTCTATGCATGCGTCCAAAGATTCGATGTGATATTTTTGAAACTAAACCGAACTTCATGGCCTGCATGTACGGCCTAGCATCTCTCAATGAACTTTATTATATGAGAGATTACTTGTACGCGATGTCTTATTATGGCCTTGTGAACATGACAGGTTGCCAATATATATTGTAATATGGATGGTTCGATTCTATATGAAAGTGGCTACGTTTAATCTATTATTATATTGTGGTGAACTTGTTCAATCAATATTTGTTAACATATGTTTGTATATAATCTCTCTCAAATTATATGAAACCAAGGGCAAAAAGGTCATTTCAAGTCTCCCTTGCTGACATAGCATATTAATTAGGGAGAAAATATCTCTTTTATGGTGTTTGTATAAAAAAAAATCTAGAAGAGTGGCATATGGATAGTGGCACTCCGGAAGAGTGGTAAATAGTTAAAAACCCCTCGCAAAACGAAGCAGCGTTTAGCATGTTATTAATTAAGTTTTAGCTATCTTTTTTTAAAAAATAGATTAATATGATTTTTTTAAACAACTTTTGTATAGAAACATTTAAAAAAACACACCGTTTAGTAGTTTGAAAAACGTACACGCTGAGTTAGGAACGGCTGGAAAGGAAAGCAGCCTAAAAATGGTTCGTGAAATCGACTTGATCGACAAAAAGGCAGATCGATAAATAAAAACTGTTGGATTGTTGGATTTGATAGAATTCTATAAAAGAGGGAATCTAACTATTTGTGATGTGGCAATTAAAAATTTAAAAAATTTATCATTCGCAGTTCATGACATGTGGATATGGGTCCTTATATGCCTATAGCATATAGGTTTAGTGGTGATAAATTTTCAATTGCTACATGTAAGAGTCGCAGACTTGCACTTAGTTAAATATCTCCCGTAAAAGTGACAAAGTTTCGCTAGGTAAAGAAAGGCACACAGCCTAGGCCATGGGATGATAGCGCATCGGTTCCGTCGAAACACATCGGTTCCATGAACTCTGCTGAAAGCCTGAAAGTAGTTGAAATACTAAAATGTGATGAACGTTCTTTTTTTCCTGTACGATACGGTTTCTCCTCCCTTGAAAATATTTGTGTTTTATTTTACATTTTCAAACTTAATTTAGTAATTATTTTTTACTAGCTTTTCAATATTTTCCAGTATTAGTGGGTGCGTCCTTTCCAGCTAAAGCCGCTTAGCTAATCCTCGTTTTTCGTCAGCATGTTTTTAAACTACTAAACGATATGTTTTGTGAAAAAACTTTATATATATAAATTGCTTAAAAAAATCTAATAAATTTATTTATTAACTTTTTTATAAAATATTATCTAATTAATCAAATACTAATCACATTTCTCATTTACGTGCAGCTATGTCGGCTAAACCATCCCGCCTATTAGAACGCACCCTTAGCTTGTCAAAAACACAAGTATAAACTTTTTTACAGTAAACTATACAGACAACCACTCACTAAACTTAATCGCTTCTATTATTAAAGTTCCTATATTCTTAAAATCCAAATTTGGATGACAAAACTTGTTAAACTTTATTTTAGGGCATGTACAGAGGTAGAGTCAGGTATGAGCTTTACGTTATTTAGAGACCAGTATTCTACAACAGTTGAAGACAATATGATCTCTAATCATTAATGTATCAAAATATTTTTTCTTACTCTTCTTTCCTTTCTTTCGCCACCATGCAATAAAATTTGTGCTAATAAATGCTAAGAGTCGACTCTAAACCATTGTCATGCATAAGAGCAAGGATAATAGTATAGCTTACTTCCTATTATTAGCCCATCTTAAAGTCAATATATATAATAGATTAGCTATAAGGTTGGCTACAATTTTCTTCTCCGCTCTCTATCTCTAACTTATACAATGAATGTATTTGTATTGTAGATTGTATTAAGTTAGCTCTTGCATGAGAGCCAACACTCTTAATTTTTTTGCTACCTCTCTCCTTCACAGTTCACATAAGCTTATAGTACACCTATAGCTCATTATTATACTTGCTCTAACAACCATATTTCTATTTCTTCTATGTCATTAATTTTACTTGCATGGCAATAGAAAGACCACTAATAAAGACTATTGTACAAGCACTTATACCAAATTATCACCATCCTGTAGAATCTTTAAGTTGCGCTGATTTGATATCATCATTAACTCTACGGTCCTGACTACCATATTTGGCCACCAGATACCTATTTTTTTTCTTTCTTCTTTCTTCTTTATTTTTCTCCTTTTGCTTCTTCTCTCGTTTCCCACTTTTTTTTCCTTCTCTTTTTTTCCTTTTTATCTTCTTCCAAGATAGCTGCCATTTGTCGAGGTTGCCATGGCCGCCACCATGAGCTCTTGCGTGTGCATCATTGACGAGAGAAAGGAAACAATGGCGAGTGGCTTCTCTGTATCGCCAGCTCAAGCTCTAGATAGCCACCTCGTTGAGCTCGAGCTCGGTAGCAACGATGAGAGCTAAAGGGCCCACATGCAGGTGAAGTGGCAATGACCAGTGACAAGCTTCACATGAGACGCTCTAACACGATATCGATGCTCCGATATTAGCCTTGAGCTCCCTCTTCCAGATCTTGGCAGTGGTGGACATCGCACGTGCGGTTGGTTCCATCGGGGGCTTGACCTTCTAGCGTGCAGCTCTGGTGACCTCCATGACCTCTGTCATCCGCACCACAGTTCCTCTCTCGCGGAGTCGACAACGAAGTAGATCGAGGAGCGGCTCGTCATCATCCCCTTCCTCTTGGTGACGCAATGTGTGCGTGAGCACATGGCCGAGACCATGACAATGACGTCTCTAGCGGCGACCTTCCCAACTTGCATATGCTCAAATGACACTCTCCCATGTTTTCATTCTCGTTGCCACCGGTCTCGACGACATGGCATTACTTTTTAAATTTTTCCGCTATTTTATTACATCTTCCCCATTCTTCTTGTCACACCCTAAAAATTGCTAAATTATAAATTGTTGTGAAAAAGTAATTTTAGAAATTATTTAATAATTAAAGTAAGTGTCTGAATAAAAACTATGAAAAATTTGAACATCAAATCGAGCTAGATAAAT